AATCACTAAGCAAATTAAAAAATTAAATATTATATTTTTTTTGTAAAAATTGATTTAATAAATAACTTGTTTGCATGTTTTACAAATAAAATTTGCTGTTTTTAAAAAGTTTAGCATGTTTTATTATATCTTTTATATAAATGGTATAAATCTTCTTTATACCAGAAGTTATTAATATTTCTTTAAAGATATGACAAAAATTAGGTGATTTTTTAGGGAAGAGGGTGTAAAAAATTTAAAATTATATATAAAGACCTAATCAAAATATATATTAAGAGGGGGAAGGGGAGTAAGTTTCTGATAAAAAAAAATCAGGTAATAAATAATACTACCTTATCTAATATATTAATTTTTTTATCATATGAACATATATAGTGTATATAAGTCAGGTAATATTATATATAATTACACAGCACTTAGTATATATTGTATATAAATCATAGTATTGAGAAGAATGCAGAGAACAATGCTGAGAATTAGCGTTTCTATCTATTATCCATTTATCTATTTATCTATTGGATATCCAAATCGGAATTTATTCAGATATCTGTTTTACTATTAATATCCAGATAATTATCTGTTTACCCGTTGGATTTTCTGGATATTCGAGTAATTTGGATTATCCGGATAATCAGATATAGATAAACAGATGATAGATTTATTTGGATTGGAACTCTATAGAGAATAATGCAAGAAGTAATCAAACTTTAAAACAAATAAATAAATAAATATATAATTGCTAAATAATAGACCTTTTTTTGTTTAGGTAAAGTTAATATAAAACAAATAAGTTTAAAAAAATAAAAATATACGTTGATAATAAAAGCCTTTTATAACTCATTATATTTGTAAATATAATAATTTTAATAAATATTCTTATACTTTGTAACCTATGAACTACCTTTTTTTTTAGTAGTTCTGTGTATTTTTTTTAGTTATATATCTTGTTCAAAACTTACGACTTTTTTATGATAAAGCTTTTGCTTTGAATATTATGCTTTGAATTTTAAATTAAAATTTATATATAATTAACTAAAATTTTTTCTTTAGACTTATATGTTTCTTACACATATCTTTTTTCAAAGCTTATAATAAAATCATTTTAATGTTTTATCTTAAGTTTTATGATTAAAGAAGTTTTTTTTTTATAGGTATCTGAAACTTATGAGAATCATATGAATCATAGAATTTCATATTACTTTAAAGATGATATTAATTTGCTTTATTCTCTAATATGTAGATTATTGATAATTTTTCTATAATCAGATGTGTTGAGAAAGATATACTGAAGATGAATATGAAGATGAATCCAGTATTTTATTTGTAATTAAAAATGCTGAAGGCAGTATGTTGAAAGAATAACTTTGAAAAAGAATCCAATTTTTTGTTTGCAATTGAAAATATTGAAGACAATATATATAAAGGCAGTGATTTAGGAGATGAGCCTGAATGTCGTAATTCAGATGATGAGCTTGAGGATAGTTCTCTAAAAGAAATAAATACTAAGCAGACTTTCACATCTTTTAAGATGCTTGAGCAATATCTGAAACATTATTTTACCTAAATAGATTTTGAAATAAAGATAGTATAAGCTAAAAAAGAAAATAATATTTTTTTAGAAAAATATATAAATGTTAGTATAAGGTTAAATACTTGCTAAAAAGAAATTAGATCCTATAACTAATAAAAAACAGAAATCAGCTTGTATAGAGTATGATTTTGTATTAAATGCTGCATATAGAAAATAGTTAAATCTTATATTTGTTAACAAGTTTGTTGAAAAGTACAATTATATATTAAAGAATAGTAAATTGCTTCAGATTTCATCATCTTTATAAAAAATACTTATATATATAAAAGAAGTAATTAGATTCTATATTCAAGAATGCTATTTAGAGGCAACAGTTTTAAAACAAATATTACAAAATAAGTCTCAAATCAAGAAATTTATAATAGAGATTTTTAGAATATGATAAGTAGATTTAAGGCTGATAATCAAATTAAAAATGATACTTTAGCTTTATATGAATTTCTAGTAAGGCTATAGCAAAAAAATTTAGATTGGAAGGGTTAACTCAGACACAAATCACTAACTTTTTCTAATGATCACTTGTACCAAGTTTTTTTTAAAAACAATTGTATTTTTTTTAAAATTTTACTAAGTAAACCTATTTTGGCTGCCTAAGTAAAATTGTTTCTAATAAAATTTTATATCTCCAAAGATCTTTATTAAAGAGATATAGTTAAACTTGTCTTTATTTATTTCTTTTTTAAAAACTCAAAAATTTATTGATTCAGCTTCATTTTGATATATAGTACATCAAAAATAGACCAAAACTGATAGTATAATAACTAAAATACTTCAAAATTCTATTGCAAAAATTGCACTTTATTTTTGCTAATCTAGGATCTGCATGTCTGGACATCCTAGAAGGGCATGGGTGCTCCAAAAAAAAGAAAAAAAAGTTTACAAATAATTATTTTATTTTAATTTTTTTTAATATTAAGGTGACCTCTTTGCCACACTGCTCTTTATTCGAATATTAGTAGTATTTTTAATCATCAGAACATTCTAATAGCTATACATATTTGTAAAATACAACTAGCCATATCTGTGCCTTTTGAGCACCTATTTAAGTATCTGCCTATCACTAGGTTTTACACTAGATGCTGTATCTGCACCCTACTAAAGAGGTATCCATTTAAACACTCTGTGATTATGTATCAACTCTTTTATATCCAAGTGATGATACTTAGTATCACCTTATTTTCATATGCTAGCTTAGGGCTTTAAAGTAGTTTCAACCATTTTAGAGAGTCCTTTGATCTCGAGGTAAACCTGCTAGAGCCTTCCATATCTACATTTAGGCTGACTTAGGCTTTGGTAACTTATATCTAATTTGAAAACAAGTACTTGTAACTTTTTATTTCTGCTACCATTACCTACTTCTGCTTTTATAGAGTTTACTCATATCTCAGCTCTGATACTCATCTAATTAGGAACCCTTCCACTGTTTCACCAAACTCCCAATCCAGATAGTCTGGTTTGGTTCACAAGTTATATTACTTGCTTTTCTACTGGCTTAATCTGAATATTAGCCTATATCCTTTTCTTTTAGTTGATTCTATTGACCTAGTTGATATAGTGCTTGTCAATTACCCAGTCTTCATTCAGATTTACAGCTTTTTGGTTTTCTTCTTAGACTTTCCAGAATCATCGAAAGTAAACGCTACTTCTCTACTCAAGACTTGCTAAGCGAGTTTCTATTTGGGACTAGTTTATGAATTTACACAGATTATAAGAACTTATCATAGGTTTACACTACCTTTTATCAGTTTGTATCACTTTGTATAACTTCTTTATTATACAAATGCTCTATAATCTTCCAAGTCTATACTACTGCCCCCAATAGAGCTTGTGAAATATAAAAAAATACTGTCTATTTATATAAAGTTTTACATTGCTTTGGTTATACAATGAAAATTTTATGTAATTATAATAATTTAAATTTTAGCATAAGAATAGTAGAGTGAATAGAATCTCATTAGAATATATGAAAGCAACTATTTCTTATTCTTTCATTTGCTTTACATCTGAGTTACAAACTTTTAAAATTTCAAAGTAAAGTAAATAATCTAACTTAGATTCATATAGGTTATAAATTTATAATTATCTAAAGCATAATGTAGAACTAATATGTTTATATGCTTTGATAACTGAAATTACATTTTTGATACATTTTTACTAAAAATATCAATAACATAGTTTCAGTATTTTTTGTTTGTAATACCATGTAACTAAATTTGCATACTTATATAACAACAATATTTATTATATGACAATATACCATTTGACTGATTGGCTATTATAACAGCCTGGGTAATTTATTTTAGATTATATAATACTATTGTAAAAAAAATTTTAATTGCCTGGTTAAGTTTTAGATTTGCAAATTTTTTAAATTATTTATATATATATCAGATCATTGAAAAGTTAATCTTCTTAGCTTTGTTAGAGATGTGATTTCATTCTTGTTATAGTAGTGTCATAGTAGTGTCATTGCAGTTAGCATCTTGCTTTGTTTTTGTTGTTGCTGTTGAATTTTAGGTATATTTTACATGGTTCTGCAAAAGTCAGTAAGCTCTGTAATCTATTAGCTAAATTAATACGAATAATGATCTAAGCATAGTAGTAAGTATTTATAATTTTGTTTTTTGTTGCTCTTAATTAAATCTATGAATAAACATTCTTTACACTTACTGGCTAAATTAATGCAAATTAATGATTTTGGTGTAATGGTAAATAAGTATTTGTGGTCCTGTTTGGTAAACCTGTTTTGGTATTAATTTAATCTATTAATAAATATTCTATATACCTACCAGCTAAATTAATGCAAATAAACAGTTTGGTTGTAATAGTAATTATTTATGTTTTTGTTTGATGAATTTATTTTACTACTTTTAATTTAATTATAAATAAACATTCTTTATACCTACTGGCTAAATTAATGTGAATATATAATTTGGGAGTAATGGTAAGTATTTGTGGTCTTGTTTGGTAAACTTGTTTTGCTGTTCTTAATTCAATCTATTAATAAATATTCTTATATCTGCTAGCCAAATTAATATGAATTAGTCATAATAGATTGAATTAAGAACAGCAAAACAAATTCATCAAACAAAAATATAAATATTTACTTATTATACCCAAATCATTCATTTGTATTAATTTAGCTGGTGGGTATAAAAAGCATCTATTAATAGATTGAATAAAGAACAGCAAAACAAATTCACCAAACAAGAACATAAATTCTTACTTACTATTATGACTAATTCATATTAATTTGGCTAGCAGATATAAG